CGGGTGTGCTGGGAACGCCTAGCAGAGGCCCCAGTCCGTGAGATCTTCAACGCACACCTCCGGCAGAGCTTCAACAGCATTCCGAGGGAGACTGAAGATATTAAGTCTGAATGGACCATGTTCAGCATCTCCTGCTGCTGCATTAAGCTGCGGCCGTAAGGTGGTTGGTGCCTGTCGTGGTGGTAACCCCCAAACCAAATGGTGGACACCAGAGGTGAAGGGAGCCACCAGGCTGAAGAAGGAGTCCTATCGGGCTTGGTTAGCCTCTGGGACTTTGGCAGCTGACAGGTACCGACAGGCCAAGCGGAATGCGGGTCGGGCAGTGGCTGAAGCAAAAACTCGGGTGTGGGAGGAGTTCGGAGAGGCCATGGAAAAAGACTTTCGGACTGCCTCGAAGAGATTCTGACAAACCGTCAGGTGTCTCAGGAGGGGAAACCGGTGCTCTACCTGCACTGTGTATAGTGCTGTTGGAGCGCTGCTGAATTTGACTGAGCAAATTGTCTGGCGGTGGAAGGAATACTTCAAGGACCTCCTTGATCCCACTGACATGTCTTCCGAGGAGGAAGCAGAGTCTGGGGATGAGGGGGATGACCCGCCAATTTCTGGGGGGAAGGTCACTTAAACAACTCCTTGGTGGCAGAGCCCCTGGTGTGGATGAGGTCCGCCTCGAGTTCCTGAAGGCTCTGGACGTTGTACGGCTGTCCTGGTTGAAAAACCTCTACAATGTTGCGTGGAGATCAGGGGCAGTACCCCTGGACTGGCAGACAAGACTGTCAGAAAAATGGGTGGTCCCCATTTTTAAGAAGTGGGACTACAGGGGGATCACACTCCTCAGCCTCTCTGGGAAAGTCTATGCCAGGGTGCTGGAAATGAGAGTTCATCCGCTAGTCGAACCTCAGATACAGGAGGAGCAATGCGGTTTTCGTCCTGGTCGCGGAACACTGGACCAGCTCTTTATCCTCTCAAGGATACTTGAGGGCGCATGGGAGTTTGCCCAACTAGTCTACCTGTGTTTTGTGGACTTAGAGAAGGCATTTGACCGTGTCCCTCGGGGTGTCCTGTGGGAGGTGCACGCAATAAGTTGGACTCGTTCCCGGTGGGTAATGGGCTCCGCCAGGGCTGCCCTTTGTCACCGATTCTGTTCATAATTTTTATGGACAGGATTTCTAGGCGCAGCCAAGTGGCGGAGGGCTTTCACTTAGGCGGCCTCGGAATCTCATCTCTGTTTTTTGCAGATGATGTGGTTCTGTTGGCTTCATTGGTTAATGGCCTCCAGCTCGCACTGGAATGGTTCACAGCCGAGTGCGACGCAGCAGGAATGAGGATCAGCACCTCCAAATCTAAGACTATGGTTCTCAGCCGGAAAAGCGTGGAGTGCCCACTCCGGGTCGGGGATGAGTTCCTGCCCCAAGTGGAGGAGTTTAAGTATCTCAGGTCTTGTTCGCGAGTTAAGGGAGAAGGGAGCCGGAGATCGACAGACAGCTTGGTGTTGCGGCTGCAGTGATGCGCACCATGCAACGGTCCGCCGTGGTGAAGAGAGAGCTGAGCGTAAAAGCGAAGCTCTCAATATACCGGTCGATCTACGTCACTACCCTCACCTATGGCCACGAGCTGTGGGTAGTGACCGAAAGAACGAGATCGCGGATACAAGCAGCGGAAATGAGTTTCCTCTGAAGGGTGGCTGGCCTCTACCTTAGAGATAGGGTGAGAACTTCAGCCACCCAGGAGGGGCTCAGAGTAGAGCTGCTGCTCCTCCACATCAAAGGAGCCAGCTGAGGTGGTTCAGGCATCTGACAAGGATGCCTCCTGGGCGCCTCCTGGGTGAGGTTTTCCGGGCATGTCCCATCAGGAGGAGGCCCCGGGGCAGACCCAGGACACGCTAGAGAGATATCTCTCGGCTGGCCTGGGAACGCCTTGGTGTTCCCCCGGATAAGCTAGAGGAGGTGGCTGGGGAGAGAAAGGTCTGGGCTTCTCTGCTTAGGCTGCTGCCCCCGCGACCTGGCCCCGGATAAAGCGGAAGAAGATGGATGGATGGACTACTGATTTAAAGTCTTTAAGATGTGTTTTGACACCAAAGGATTTGATAAAAAAAAAGAAAAAAAAGAATGCGGGTTTGAGGCACTTAAACTTTGGCTTCAGCTACTTTTATCTTTTACAGGGGGTGAAGCCAAGTAAACTAGCTGCCTAGTTAGCATGTGTCATACAGACTGGACTTATAAGCACTGGTATGATTAGTGGACAAAGAATAATTAGAAAATAATTTTTGTCCAAAGCTCTACATTTTCATCATAGGAGTTGCTTTTAGAGCCAACCTGGAGTGGCCAATCAACCAAGTACATATTTTGGGCATTTCAGGTTGGCTTATCATTTATTCAGAATAAGTTATGACGCATAATTTGTATGTTTCTAGGACAGTAAATGAAGTTAAAAGAGACCATTAGCATTTTAAGTGATGCTTGTTTGATATTCATACAGATTTTAACAACATTTGTTTCTGAAACAGCTTTGAGCAAGTTTGGAAATCATTTTGACAATCAAACACTATGTGCTCTACAGTTTCAGAGGGGAAAATACAATCTCCCATCTCATGATGCCCTGGCACAGATTCTACCAGATAATCAGCTGCTCCGCAGCAGAGCGAAGACTGAGCTTCCAGGCACTGCCCAGCTAGACCAGAATACTAAAGCTGAGAGGGCAGACTCTACCGAGAACAAACCTAACATAAACAGCACGTATCAAGTTCCTCATCCACACATGCGGTACGGTGCAAAAATATATGAGAAACAGATTTATTTGATTTATTTCGAAAGTAAATGAAAGACTTACATTTAGACTACAATTGTGTTCTCATGCTTTAGGCCCTCTCCCCATGACTTTGAGGATGATCCCCACGTAGCAGAGATCTCTGACCTCCAAACAAAGGTGAATAGGCATGACCAATATCTTAACTGTTCAATCAATCAGTGAGGCAATCCTATGTCATATTTAGTTAGCGAACAGTGACACAGAGAGGTCAGTGAAATGAGAAGATGATGAAGCAAACAGTCACAGTTTGGAGATAAAATGAATACATTAACATTTCTCCTTGACTGTAATTGCACTGAAGGAGGATTAAGCTGATGAGGCTTAAAGTGTTCCAATAACATTTTCTTTTCGAATATCTTACCATTTTCTCCTGTTTTATTTACAGCCAGACTATTATGTCTGCACACTGCCTTAAATTGTCTGTGGGTGTAGATTTTATATATGCGTAATTTATCAACAAGTATCAACTGGCCTTTTTTCAGTGCAAAAGTGCATATTTAAAGTTTAATAGACAATGATTATTAATACTTTACATGCAAAATAATGTGGTTAATAAAATGCAGCCAAATGTGAAATCCTCATGTTTCAGTCGAGCTGTCATACATCTGTCCTGAAGTGACTTTATGCATGACATCAGACCTGTTTAATGGCTTTATATCATACAGAATAGAAGGGATCCAGCCAGAGACAGAGATTCCCTTTTATTTTCAATACATAAAAGGACTTTCCAGACTCATCACGGGGAGCTCTCATTCACATCACTGCTTTGGGCCCCCAGCAGAGACGACATCTCATCTACAGTCATGATTGTCACCTCGTCCCTGCCCTTTCAATTAGATGCTCAATTTCACCCCTTGTGTCCCATGGGAGACACAACAACACCATCCAAGATTGGAATCCCCTAATCGTCACCCCCCCGCTCAAACATACAGCTGGACCTGCCTCTTGTCTCCATTCAATTCTGGCTATTCAACTTGATAGAAGAGCATGTGACAGAACAATGGGTCCTACACGCTGCTAGACAACATCCAGGGGCCTTGTACAAAGAAATGCTTTGATAAAAAAGCTCTCCTCCCAGACTCATTTTGTCAGCCTTTAAAGAAACAAATTTCTTTAAAGAATTTCCCAGAAATATATATTTTTTGCTCGCTTCTACAGAAATTCAGCTTTCAGAGAGGAACGTGTGTGCATGCTTGAGTAAACGACTAAAAATTGTGCAAAATCCCCAGTTAAATTTCCCCTAACAAAACACCTTTACAGGATGGAGTGGTATGCCCTTATGAATTTGAGGAGCCAGAGTTATGAATACATTATACCAAACCTTAACCAATCAATTAGAGGAACATCCAAGTCAATGGATTACATTCATTTATGGCTTGCAGTAATACCCCGTGTCTCATGCTACATGCATATCTGAAAACCAGAAGTTACCAGTTATCCTATTTAAAACCAGTTCAAGCCTGTTCATCCCTTTTGCTGCTATAATTGTTTGTGTGTCTATGGTAATACATCCTGTATTACTCTCTTAAGACATGGGTTTGAGGAGACATCTAGTGGTGGCGCTCGCTCATAACCACTAATATCAAATTGTTTACAGGCCAGTGAATTTATTGTTGACACCAGTCAGTGCATGACAGTAAAATGCCACTATAAGCACTAAAAAGAATGGCATTTATTGATCTGACAGGCACTAATAAGGTTCAATGCAAGTAGTAGTAGACCAGTAGGACACAAACAGTGAAAGAGAATTTTTAAAAATATCTATTTTCTGTTACCTACATTGTAGAGGGTAACTTTGCCTCCACACCTAAACAGGAAAACGAGTAAGTCATTGGTTATAGTGGGACTCAGCAGGTGGGGGGAATCCTAAGATCTCTGTAGTGGCTCAGTGGGAAAAAGAATTCCAACTCATAACAATTAATGTGAGTGTCAGTAGATTTTACAGGCTGTGATCAGCTGACCTGCTGCTCTTTGTGGATTTACATAACTGAATTCAACAAGATGTCAGCATTTTCACAAGCTACCATGGGTGATGTCCATCCCCTGACACTATACTGTTTCTTTATACTAGACAGCATAAAGCTGGTATACAGTTAGGATTCAGTGAATTAATCTAAGCATCATCAGTTTAAATGCAAATTCATCTCTGATGCATTTGATGTAACCTTATTCTAACCATAAGAACCACAGCCACTTTGATACAGTCCAACAAGGTGCGTTAATGCAAGCTACCCTGTATATCCTGGGCAAAATACCCCAAATATTCATGCAACATTTGAATGGCACAAAGTTAGTATAACTTAGTTTGTTTCACAAAAATGAAAACACATAATCTATCAAAACAAGACATTGCATATAAGCTTTAAATTTGCAGTTCATCAGAGTCACAGAGCACTTCTTACCTTTAAATACAACCTCTCTTCTTCCTCTCACGTCCTGTCTGTCTTCCTCCATCTCTCATTGAATTTATCACGCTTTTCTCTCCCTAGGAAATCCAGACCTTTAGCTAGCGACACACTGTGCGTCAAACTGCACACAAAAAGTTTGCGTGTTTTTGCTGATAGAAACGTTTAATTTGTACTTACCTGCCACTTAACAAAACGTTACTTCCGTTATGCTCGCTCCTCTTCTGTGGCGCTAGCTTGATTCTGAAGTACCGCGAACACAAATTGCGGACACCTGCACTCCTTCCGGCCCACCTATAAGCTATAAATGAACCTTTGAACCGAAAGTAACGAGACTGTTTTGCATATGTAAGGAGTAGAAAATACGCATATTTGTATAAAAATGTAGGTAGTAAAAGTAAAAAGTTGTCTGAAAAATAAATAATCAAATAAAGATACCTGACAATTCTACTATTTGTACTTGGTTACTTCTTAAGTACTCTACTTAAGTACAGTAACAAAGTATTTGTACTTCATTACTTCTCACCTCTGCTTTTAAGCCACTGAAAATGTTCTAATGTGAGGCACTCTTTCACCATCAGGAGATTGAAAACTATCGCTCAGCAATGTCTAGGATGGCAGAAGACATAATAACACTTAGGACACAGGTGCTGTCTTTGGAGGCAGAAAACAGTCAGCTCCGCAGTGATCTGTCTCTTCAGCAGGACCTTGGACGGGATCTTCTGGCCGACACTGACATTGATGTCATGACCAAGGCTGAAATTGCTGACCGAATAGGTACAAAAGTAATATATCACTCTAACTTCACTCTCTGGTAGCTTGTGGTTCACGGGGGCATTTAAAAGTAGAGTTTATGTTTTAAAAGTAAAATGGGAGCCAGAGCCTTCAGCTTTCAGGCCCCTCTCCTGTGGAACCAGATCCCAGTTTGAACTCAAGAGATACACACCCTCTCTAATTTTAAGATTAGATTTACAACTTTCCATTTCGCATATATAGCTTATAAGTCTAAAGCTTATAGCTGGGGCTGGATCAGGTGACCCTGAACTCTCCCTTAGTTATGCTGCAATAGGCCTAGGCTGCTGGGGGCTTCCCGTGATGCCGTGAATGTTTCTTCTTCACTCACTGGGTGTTTATACATCACTCTGCATTTCATCATTAGTTATTTCCCCTGTCATCAATTTTCCTTCCCAGTGTTGCCCATTACTTCTTCATGGGGGGTTTGTCTGATTGTTGGGATTTTCTCTGCGTTATTGTAGGGTCTTCGCCTTACAATACAAAGTCCCTTGAGGATGTTGTTGTTGTGATTTGACACTTAAATAAATTTAACATTTAAGTTTTACTCAGCTTTATATTATCCACACACCATCATTTAGTCTCAGAGCAAAATTTTAAACTCCTAAGAAGTTAAGAGCAAATAAAGGACTAGATGCTGATCCACTAAAGTCAGATAATTTACCACCCAGCTAGCTCTCTCTCAGTGCCGTAACAGACTTAAGGTCATTTCTTCGGCAGATGAAGTCGTGACATCCAAGGCTGCTCAGCATGCGTTAATCCTTGTGAGTGTCCTTTCCCAGGCAGACTGTCATTTTGTGATAAGGAAGCTTATTCAGGCCATGGACCACGATAAGCTCCGTGTGTACTACAACCCTTATCTCCTGAAGGACAGTTTGTGGCCCTCGGGGAAAGGACGTTCCAGAAGGTCTCTTTGCTAACATCAAAAGCAAAAGGATAGGATTTAACTCCCATCCCTCCGAAAGATCCATTCAAATTCAAAAGTATATTGATGGATCTTTTGATTATTATTGGTCCAAAGCACATGGCATAAAACTGACATGTTATTGAAACTAGTGTGAAATTCGAACTCATTACTTAGATATGCTCAGCGTATCGAGTTTTTAAGTGAATGTACAAAAAACATGTTCCCTGTAAGTAAGGGATGACAGACAGTTTCTGCAGTTCTGATGATTGTTCTGCTCTTTTTAAGCCACTCTAAAATTCAAGCTCGCCAGTGAGGTGAGCAAGGCCGCCACACAAAGGGACCGCATACAACATCTGCAGAATGAGCTCATCCGGGTTAGAAAACACACCACACACATTATGAATATTTTTAAAAACACATCTCAGGAAAGTGTCTTTCCATTGATTATATAACTCGTATTGTTTTTTTGTGCAGAAAAATGATAGTGAGCAGGAGCTATTAAAGCTCTGCAGAGTCCTCCAGCAGGAGCAGAAGAATCTGCAGCATCACCAGAGTCACTTGGCAAAGATGGCAACTTTAGAGGCCACAGTGAAACAGCAGGAAGAGGTGAACAGTCTGTTACTAATCTAATTTCATGATAGTAAATATGCTTCTCATGTAGCAGCTTATAATTCGCATGTGGGGATATTTATGTTTGTGCCATCCTTATTTTTAGGTCATAGAAAAAATGGAGAAAGCATTAGATGGAAAGCTCAGAGACAAGAATATTCATCGTGGTGACAAAAGGCTGATGCTAATGGAAAGAGGTAGGTGCACCCAGTGGGAACAATTATGGTCACAAAAGCACTGACACTGACTGGAGTGTCTGATCTCCTTTCATGCTGAGAAGATGGCCTTAAAAAGAAGGAAATGAAATCAGCCTTAGCAGCAGAGAACGGCCGTCTCAGAAAAGAGCTGGAAAGGATTCACCAGCTGCCGGCACCACTCAAAACACAGCAGTCAGACCAGGTACTTCTTAAACTCCTTAAATATTGCAAATGACTATGATAGTATCCAAATTTTCCCTCGCAACTCCTAAAAGTGACATTTTTTTTTCTATTTTTACACTCAAGGAGGAATGGAGTTTACGACATAAATTGGAGAGGGCTGAAGCACGAATCCAAACACTGGAAGCTCAGGTTAAGAAAATATAAATAAGATATACTTGGTCTAATTATTTATTTCCTTATAAATATATATATTTTTTCTTTTGCATCTTTAAAGCTGGAGGAGAACGCTACAGTATGGGGGAGAGAGAAGCAAGAAATGCTGACCAAACTGAGCGAGCACAGGCACGGCTTCATCCGGACATCCACAGCAATCCTTCAAAATGTTCCTTCGGTCAGTCAGGCCTCACCCTTCTCCATATAATTATGGTATGAAGGGATTTAATATTCTCAAATACTGCATGTTACTTCCTACAGCTCCTTATACCAGCAAAGAGGACAGCAGAAGCAAAACCTGTAAAAAGACCTGCAAATGAATTGAACTGTTGATGGGACACAGAGTCTGTGATTTAAAATTTAGATCTAATTCAAATGTGATGATTTAATCTGAAAAAGTGTGTTTAAAATGTAAACCATAGACAATTACATATAAAAACAGATACTTTGTATCAGTTGTATTTTTTTATTCATCATTGGTACATAAATGAACATTTTTGTCAAGTACAAGTGGAATAAATTTGCACAATGCATTCCTGATTTTTAGTATATTTCACACACAGAGTACATGTCACTGAGGTTTTTACCTCAGTATTTCTTTAACTTATTCCTTCCTTCCTTCCTGTGTTTTTCTTGCTCTCCCTACAACTCTAAGGTTGGAAGATTTTCATTTGTTGTTCATATTGTGGAGTTTTGTGAAGCCGTTTACAGTTAATTTCATCAAACACGATGTTACTGACTTGCTTGTACAGGTTTCAGAGTCAATATTATGGGCTTGTCTGGCACGAGAATTAGCTCAAAGGTGCTCTCTACTTCCACATGTTGCTGTTTCTCCACTCTGAAGTTCTCGAGAATCTGCAAAGGTAGCACAGACAGTTTGTATGATGTCAGTGTGCCACATTTATATGGAAATACTGCTGATTATTTTCTTTATATCTTACGTGGATAAGAAAGAGTTGCATCTCTGCTTCAGCTATTCTTCGTCCTAAACACTGACGGGGCCCAAAGCCGAAGCCCAGACTTCTGAAGTAGTGGGTCTCGGTCCTCAGCCAGCGAGAGGGCTGATACTGCTCCGGACGAAAAAACACCTTGGGGTGTCTTCCCATAGCATACAGCCCTAATTGGACCAGAGTCTGAATACACATACAGACATATACAGACACAACAACATGCATGACAGTTTGTATGAAAATGGTCAAATACTCAAATATAAATACATCATTTATATGTTTTTGTGCCTCCTACCCCAGCTGGGATGTGATAGTTTTGAATAATTATGTCTTCTGCTATGTATCTTTGCAAGTTCACTGCCACCGGATGCAACCTGAGACACAGAAAGAAAACCACTTTTATAAAAGAAACACAAACTAATGAACTAAGAGAATTGCAAAAGTTCATTCTGATAAAGTGTATCTTTTCTGGTCTTATCTTAAATGTCTTGAACATGTGTTTCAGTCACCTGAGTGTTTCCTTCAGAGCACCTTTGACCAAAGGGATCCGCTTCAGCATCTCCAGCAAGTCTCCCTGACTTTCGGCCCGAGCTGCAGCCACCTCTGCCCTGAGCTCCTCCTGGAGGTTGGGGTGCCTGGCTAATTCATACAACGTCCACAGAAGCGTTATAGAAGTCTGTAACACAACCAGAAGCAGCCTTAAAAATCTGGATAACAGTCACACAGTTCCTCATACTTAAATTTTTTTTTCTCCTTACTGTATCTACTCCACCCGCCATCAGTTCAGTGACACTGGCTTTGATGTCTTCAATAGACAGCTTGTCCAGCATGAGCAGGCTTGCCAGGACTCCTGGGTATTTCTTTGGAGTGCCTGCATCCTGATGCAGCTTCTTGTAGATGTTCTGGATACAGCGGTCCGCTGATGCAACGAAAGGACAGAAATGAAACAAGAAATTGCACCACAGTAAAAGCAAAAACTGTATTTTGAAATTTCAGAATTAAATTTTCAACCTATGTGTCCCACCGTGGTTGAATATGCCATCCCAGGCCTCCACGTGGTCGCGCCACACCTTTGATCCAGTCTGCTTCAAGAGAGCAGGAGGTATGTACAGCATGGGCGAGGTAGTCTTGAACATAAGGGTGATGCAGTCAATGAAATGCTGAGCTTCTGGGTCAATGTAGTCCAGCATCAAACCCAGACGCTCACCATACAGCACTGAGCTCACCGCTATATTGGACAAAACAAACATGAGATAGAAACAAGTGATGTGTGATTGAGTTTAAAAAAGGCAGGAATAATTAGAATTGAATATTTTAAATAAATGTTAGTCTTACATTCTAATGCATATTTAAAGAGTTCTTGAGAGAGGTCAGTGGTCCACTTGTTCTGGCCAGTTCGCTTGATCTTTTTGTGAACTCTGGCCACAAAATCCTGGCCCACTTCATCCAGCAAAGGCACAAAGTTTTCCAGCATCTTCAAGGAAATCACCTCCTTGTTGAGAATCACACGGTTTGATCTCCAGTCTTCTCCATTCCTGTGTGACAATCAGATTTTTAATTATTTTAAAGTATTTAGCTAACACTGGTAATGCTTACTGAAGAGACTGGTTTTGTCAAAGTGTCTGAATAGTGGAAGAGTTGGAAGAGGACAGTAACAGGATGTACTTAAGAAGAACTCCATATTTGCGATTTCTGTAATCTCTGTATGATGTCCATGGTTCAACCTTCAGCCTTTTAGGATAATGGCCCTCTGCTTTGAAGAGGATGGCAGCATCCTCGGGGTGGATGATATTTACACTTTCATAAGAACCTATTTTTTCTCTGCCATACAGAAAACAAGAAAAGAAATTGTGAGATGAACATTTGACCTTGGAAATTGTAGGTTACAGGTTTGTTTTTTTGTTTTCTTAAAACCCATCACGTTTTGGTCAGCCATGTGCAGTAATATTTCATTTTATGAAGAACGAATCAAACAACCTGGACTCCTTTACCTGTAAATAGGTCCAAAAGTGTTGAAGTTCTGCAACGTGAGGCGGTGAAGATTTCTGAAGCCATCCAACTTCCAGAAATTGTACAAGTTAGCCCAGCCATTCTTCCACAGTCCAGGAACTTCATTGAAAGGCCTGACGACGCTGCTGCTTTCCGAGCATGCCTGTCTGATCACCGGCATGCTGCTGCTGCAGCGCACACCTGTTGCTGTAAGCTCCTCTGCCCAGCACAGCGGCAGCTTCACAGGGCTACGCCAAACACTCCACTTGGCCATCTGAACAACAAAAAATGCTCACTCTGCTCCACCTTCAGCAACTACTCTGGCTCTGCCAAGGACACCTGGTGCAAAAAGGGAGGCGAGAGGCTGGTCTATAGAGTCGGCCCCCCTTTCTGCCCTGATCAAGGCTTTCTAGTTGAACCTCACAGGATAGACCAAAGAACTGATTATGACAGCTCTGCCGCATTACTGAAGCTTTTATCTGGTTTCACAGCTCTTTTTATAATCATGTTTCAAACAGTGTTGCATAAAATAACCTTCAGAAAGCACGTTATCTTTGTAAACAAGCATTTACTTGGAATTTGTGAGAAATTATAAGAATATTACAGAAATTCAGTCACAGCATACATGAAAAACACAGTTTATAGTTAAAATTAAAGATTTAATAAATTAATTAAAATGTACTATAGTTGATGTTTCTTAAGTAGCTTTATGAGTTCTTCCAGCTTCATGGCTGTTTTAATGTCTCCCTGGACTTTAAGTCTGCCACTTGTAAAAGCAGCTATTGGTCGCAGTTCACCCTGAAACATGTCCAGAAGGTCACGGTCACTCATATTCAGGGTTACATCTGGTTCTCGACACAAGGACCCTTCCCCAGCTGCACCACTACCTAAAGTACAAAGAGAAATAGACAGATTTCATTTTTTTAATGTTTTCGTACACACATTTAGCGCCAAGTAAAAATTCCATAATCATGACATTTATCACCTTGGCTCAGATCCACATAGTAACGGCGCTGTTGTCCATCTCCTGAGCTGATGTCAAACTGATAACAGGCCCCAACCTGGCGGACCAAAGACTCAGAGAGGAGCAGCTTGACTTTGCTGAGCAGCTCTTCAACACAACCTGGTGTGGCAGTGACAGACTCGGCAGCACTGCTGAGCTCATCCGTAAATGCTATGCTGTCCTCTGAAGAAAGAGGTGAAGATTACAGCACTAATTATGGAAAAGATGCAAGAAGATTTTTTAAGTGTTCTGTCTTACCCTGCTGAGGCCGTGATGTGACACCGTGGCTCAGAAAGTGCATGGCCAACTGCTGAATGGGGCCAGTGAGGCCTTCAAGTCCAGGTGCAGAGGGCATAATCAGGGGGGCAGAGGGGCTGTCCTCTGGGGCTTTCAGTAGAGAACCAAGGGTAAGCTCTACTCTATCCACCTCCAGCCCCCAAGGACGAGTCATCTCGTTTATGTCCATCTGTAAACATGAAGCATGAATGTAAACATGAACTGATACAGCAAAAGAAATCAGCGCAGAGTAGCTAAAGCGTGTCCTCACCCCAAGATATTCCCCTAATTTCACTCTCTCAGTTTGAATCTCCCTCACGGTCTTCTTGGCCAGGCTGTGGGTCAAAGCCTTCTGTGCCGTCATTCTGGTGGAAGCATTGAGATCCTGGACTGACACCACTGACAAGACCGGGTTCCAGATCCTGAACTGGATGTCTGCTCCCACTGACAACACACCACCATCCCGAGTAGTCACCTATAACAGCACAGTGTACTGACAGCTGAACTTACATGAAGCCAAACTGGCAAACGAATTAGTACATAAGCATCTCCTCTTAAATAAATAACATTCACAGCTCCTAAGAGGAATGGCTTTGCAAAAATCTGAAGCTCAATTGAATATAAATTATGCCATCAACTTGAAGTTTGAATTGTTTTTGTCTTTTTTTTAAGTGTATTAAAGGTAAGAATGACAGGCTAAGCCATATGAGAAGGAAGAAATTATCTCCAGCACACACAAAATAAATTTCATGGAACTGAAATTACTGCTTTTAAAACATTTTTAAATGGTAAATGATGCGCATAAGATGTGTTTTACCAGTATTCAGAATTCAAAAGTGTTGTGTTACAGTGTGGCAAGAGCAGAAAAATCAGCTGATCTTATGCAATCAGAAACCAGGAAACAACGGCACACAGATTATGTATTTCATCCTATGCTAACCTCTCCTGTGGCTTAAGGATAAAAAGATATAATGTAACACTTCTTTAGCTATTAATTATCATGTACTGTACATGTATATGGGCAGAGTGGATCTCATCCAAAAGACTATCAAAACCATGTTTAACAAACATGCTGAAACATCTTTTTATTTATCTTTTTAAATGCCACAGGCCAGCTATACCAATAATAGCATGTCTGGCAGTTTACCTGGCAAGGGGGGATGTTGAAAGCACGGGTGCGCAGATCTACTTTCTGCCACTGATCAATGAGAGGCAGCAC